ACACGGCATTGAGAGCTGAAAGAAAAGGAGGGAAGTCCCGGAGGCGGGGGAGTGAGCTTTTGGTCTCAATTGAGGAAGAAAGGAGAACCGTGAGATGAGTAATTCCACTCACCTCGGCGGCCCGGCCTGGCCTACTATAATGACGGGAAATGCACACTGTAGTTTCAGTAGCCTCCAGTGCTCTGTACCGAAAGTCCTCCAGATCAGATCTCAAAAAGGGGCGTTTCCGATGCGTGCATGCGAGCCAGGTGAACGCTGCGCATTCACTTGCTGACTCACCCCTTTTTTTTACTGGTATAAGCACCTCGCCTGAACTGTACTTGTCTCGAACTTCGCTCACCCTTACTTTTTCAGAAGCTCGCTTTCCCTGCTTACCACTACCTTTCTTTCTAGAATTAGCAACAGGACTAGTACTAAGTTTGGTTACACCGTACAATCCAGATCATCGACGTCGACTGGGTCTGACTTGAGTCGTAAGGGCTGGGATTACGAATGTATCCTTTAATTCCTCAGGATCAGCCAGAAGATATGGATTAAGGAGGATAGCGTTATTCGAATCAAAGATCATAGTTGTTTCAAATGAAAATAAGCCTCGAAAAACCCATTTTACATTAAATTCGAGTTGCCACCCAATTCCAGTGGTCGAAAAGAACAAAACGGACGCTGCGCGCATACCACTTCCATTCACAACACTCAGAATTGAGCAGTTCAGCAGAGGCTACATGGCTTATACAATGAATTGCGGGGGCGGACGATGTTCAAGTCAGTGCTCTCGTTCCCCGACGAATATGGTCCCAGTTTACGGTTTTTGGACGGTGGAAGCCTGTTTTGCTCAAGCAGAAACTGGACCGGGATTCGACTCCAAAAAGCCCGTGCCACTTGCTACACCACCACGTCCGTCTCGATCACAGTGATATACCTGTAAAAAGCATCAAAATGTCCAGTATAGATAAACAGTCCAGCTCACTTTAAGCCAGGGCATGACAAAAACTTCACTGACGCGGAGATTGCGCCTACGACAACCTGTGCATGCCGTTTGTTCGACGTTTTTTCTAAACAGGGTCAAATGCACCACATATCCTGTAGATGAAGTGGGCGTGGCTGCTCACTTCTTCCAAACCTGGCGGCGGCTGCGCTTCTGGTAGCGCATATTCATTTTGAGACAACTGGAATGCTGTCAGCACAAGACAGGAGGGCAGTTGTTGCCAATGAAAATCTCCCACCCAACCCATCCTACGCCATGTTCATATGAAGTTCACAGTCATGCCATCTCCATCTCGGGATGAGGGAATGGCATTTATTCGAAATCATGGCGTAACCTCTGGAGGGCATAGAGCAGGTGAACTGGTAGATCACTCACGCTTCAATGTTACAGAGCCAAAACACAAGTGTTCCAGAGCTTTTGCATCTTCTGGGAAATTCTAGGTAGTCGGAGGGTTGCTGGTATGGCCTTGCTTGAGAGCACACACTGAAAATGTACCTATTGTAAGGGTTAAGAGATGCACTGCCACGTGCTAACTACTATGAACGGCTAAGATCTATTTTCAGCAAATTTTACATTCTCCGATATAAAAAAGTCTACATAGTTGTCCAAACTGGTATCGCGCTGATATTTGCACTGATCGCAGATATTTGGGTACTAATTCTTGCACAACCAAAACGGTAAGTCATCTGGTATACAGTTCTCTGTTAGGTTGGCAGAAATGTTCGGGATGGGAGCGAGATGCTTGTAGATACGCTAGGGATAGGAATTATCTACAAAGGTTTTTCGCGATAGAAGGCACTAAGAAATACATATTTTCAGCTAAATATGAGTAATGCTTCGCGTGGCGAATGCATTCATGCGTTTCAACCGCAGTCCAAGGTGCTTGGCTGAAAAGAGTCACTCAGTGGTGCAAGTTTAGTTTTAGAAAAAGCTTTATAGCTTCCTGACACTACGTGAATAGCAAGTGGTGGGCAACCGAGTGCCAGCTCCCCAGAAATGTATCTGGGCGTGTGCTGTTGTATATGACTTACCTTTGGGTGCCTCTGACGTTTTCCTAAAGCAAACAGCCGGGGGATTCCGGCAATCACCCGAAGGGTCAGAATAACGTCTTCCGCTCTGACGGTAGTCCGGTCAGTATTCTCAAAAACCTTTGTGACGAGGTGGATCCTGTGATTTAAGCTGAGAGGATGGAGGAGGTATGCATTTGCCCCTCTGAGGACGAGATATGCTACTCTATGGATGATCTTCAATGGGACATGTTGCGTACCTTGTGTGCAGAACCTACCTCGTGGTTTTAATGTTTCACTTTTATTTTTTTCCCTATGGCTATAGGTCCCCCCCCCCTCCGAAGGCATTCTAGCACTGACCTCCGTGGGTCCGATTCCTGTCATTTGCAAGAAGTATGCAAAGTATTCGCAGTATTTAGCGTTTCGCGGAAAAGCACCAAATAGTTCGCAGGACAAGAAGGCAGTCAGCGGTACAACAGTAATAAGAATGAAGACGTGAGAGGTACGCAGACAAAGTAAAGCGCGTTTGGCTATGGTTAGGCGCTTTTGCTGCTACTGGGGTTAGTCTAGGAGCGCATCGCAGGAATCAGTTAACCCTTCGAACCTCGATCCGCCCTTCCGATCTCGGATTGCCTGCTATTAGCTTCCAACTTTTTCGTTTTATTATTAATCTACGAACTTTTCTGCCAACACAGTTTAATGTGTCCGTAAGTCTAGAACTTATACTAATCTTTCATAGATTCTTCATATAAGTCCTTTATTGCAGTCTTGTTTTATGTGTTATAACTGAACCTCTGCAAGGTGAAGTATATCAATTTTTCATGCAATCTATCATGGTGATCAATATTTCAATCGTTGTTTGTTATGCTGTGTTTTTGATTCTGATAAGGAGAGTCCAAATGAGTGAGTTGTTAACTTTTACTGTTTACTACTAACTACTTGCTCGAAGCTTTTCTTGCAAATCATCTCGCGAGTGGTTCGTATTCTAAAGATAGAAGGAGTCCGTCAAGGATACGCTCTGGGTTGGTCGTATGGGCGGAGCTTGGCCCACCAAAGTGCTTTCCTCGTTGGTGCCCTCTCCTGTCTGGATTTCGCAAAGAAAGAGACGCACTTGCGGAGAAGGCATTATGGTGGGCCTGACTCCGCCTATGAAGTAAAGTGGACTGTGCAGGCACAAGCTATTGCCCACTCTCCCTTTACATGATTGTGGTATGCGATGAGCAGAAGAACCCATGAACTTTTTTTCAGGCGAAGACAATATGAGGCACATCTATCGATCACTGATCGTGATTAGTCTAACTGTCGTCTTTGGATGGTTCAGTACAATGGTCATCGTCTGCATCAGTGATCTCTTGAATCTTAAGATTGAACGATTCTATGTGAACCTCTTGGCCGGACTTTTTGTGAACTTCGCATGCGCACTCAGCTTCTTTGTATACTACGCTGTGAGGTTAGTTTTGCTCAGAAAATTGTTTGGAGACAGCATTTTTTTTTGCAAAATTGTCTCTAGTATTCGATCTCAAACCGCTCTACGGTCGAGAGTTTCTCAAGTGACGATAACTTATTTTATGAAGACACGTGGATTGGAGAGAGGCCTGAAGCGGGAATAAACCACGCAATTTCTGCGCCTTCTAAAGAAGACAGCAGAAGATGTTCTAACATGGCCTACTCAACCTTAGAACATCCCATACCCAAGGCCTATTCAACCTTATAGGCAGTTGGCACGATAAATCCACCAAGACGACTAGGATAAATACTCCTGGCAGAATAGAATTCCGCGAC